GGGCCGGCATTGAGGAAATCCGTAGCCACACGAGGATCCTAACTCATGAAGCAGACTCGACTTGCATGCGGCTGGACTGCGGGGCTGCATTAAAAAGATGTTATGCTTTTCCCTGCACTCCATACCGGAAGACCGTTTGACCGGCGATACACACTGCCAGGAGTGAACCGTGTTGGTAAAGCGGTTGCAATCGAATCTGCGACCCCCATAGGCCCAGTAAAACCCATTTATCAACATTCCCGTATTCCAGAAGACGTTTGACCTTGTTTTTTGAGTGGGACGACATATTTGATAATCAACTTTGATTAAAGCAAAAGGTTCCCCTTCCTCCTCCACTGGCCTCAGAAATCAAAAAAGTGGATTTTTTGACACCAAGTACGGTGAAGTGACTAATTTAATGAGTTAGGACAGCTGAGTAGCTCCTAATGTGAGATGCAGGTCATATATATGTATGTCACATTATGAAATTAAATTGAAAAATTAAAATTGAAAATTAAAATGAATGAATCTTATAGAATTTCTTAAATTTTTTATAATCCAGTAGTTTCTCTATGCGAACCAATACAGAAACGAACCTAATCTCCTTTTGTTTGCAGGAAGCGTCCATATCGTCGTCACAGTAGATCCGGGCAATAGTTCCAAGTAAGTATACCTTCTTTAAAAAAACTTTAATTCCCGTTACATTTTACGCCCATTATCTCACTCTTTAGTCAAACTGAGAAATCGGTAGCCACGGCTCGTGGAAATTTCAGGCGGCCTAACTTCCATTGTGTTAAGGGGCAATGGGATTGTCTGAGTAAAAGTATATGCATTTACCTTGTGTTACAATCTCAAATACGGACGGATATTTTTCTATTCACACCACGTCACGACCTTTGGTAGATTCTATAAAGTAGGCTAAGCGGGCCTGTTTCATAGCAGGTACGTTACTTTTCTCGCTATCTGCTACTAAAGCTAGTGTCAGAAGTGCATTCATTACTATCTATAGCGTCAACGCAAACAAATGTAGCAATTCAGAGCGAATCTGTTTGAAATCCGTCTGAACCCCTCGTGTTGTTTAACCAAAGCGACAACGTACAACAGAGATGCTATGCATGAAACTTTAAGCGAAATTCTTAATTACTACTCCAATAAGGTTCTAATATTAACTGAGCCTAATCCCAACACATTTCTTTCATTTCAGATTGCCGGCTTTTGAATGGGCTTCCTTATTTTCACTTTCAAAAGCACCATTGCAGCTAAATTAACTACATACTAGATTTAATTTTCCCCATCTGTTTGCGATGCCTTTATAAATTCAAAAATGTCTTATAGAAAGCATGTACGAGATAGTATTTCCTGTAGAAACTCACGTTTTTTGAAATTTTGTGCTTACGAAAGTGTATTTTTAAATTTCAACTCATTTTCTAATTCACCTTCTTATTAAAATTACGAAGTAGCCATTAATAAAGCGCCCTACCTGTTCAGGTTTAAATTTTTCTTTTCCATGTATGTTGCATGATTTAATGAGCACTATGTGACATCTTGAGCAGATTATAGATAATTGTGTGATCTTCTTCAGACGGAATATGTACAGCATGTACTTTCGAAATCCCCAAGAGAATTGTAAAGGCAAGTAGGGTTTGAACTTGTGTGGGAGTTGCAAAGTTTTTTTGAACACGAAAGATATCATTAAATCAGGCATAAAATTCGACAAAGACTTAATTTGCTATTAATTAATTTTAAGAAAGGATATTTTATGCATGTTTTCTATCAGCTGTGTTTTAACTTATAAGGACATAGAAAATCATTGAACACACTTTTAGTCCTTAAGTAGCCTTTTTTTACAGGGTGAAGTGTATGAAGGCGCCCGGAAATAAACTTGTTTAAAAGCTGAAACTCTGACGTAATTGAAGTACCTTAGAAGTATGCTTCAAGCTAATCAACATGAAAATCCCACCAAAAACAGAATTCAGCACTTCGATTAACATTTTATGAGACAGTCTATCTAACATACGAAAAAGACTGTTATTAATACGTTAATTAATTCAAAAGTGTAAGTATATCTTGGATGAGCACCGTCAGTAGCGAAATTTCCATGAAAACAGTCCTAAAATTATTTCCCTTACTCATCCACTTTCGTGCAGCAGTTTTCGCCTTGTTATATTTTTAGAAAAGCCAGCAGCATGGACTCGCGGCAGAGGATTATCCCCACTTGCGTGGTGCGTATCGAGTCGATCCTCGCCAAGTGGTTGGCCATGGGACGCTGTGGTAAATTTTTGGGTTTCTGTAGGAATTCTGAGGGAACGGAGACCCGCGGGATTCATCGACTCGATATCGACGAGTACGGACTGCAAAGTAACGCCGCGCGAGAGTTACAACTGGCCCTCAAGAAGGCCTGGGATCCCAAGGGTATCATGAACCCCTACAAAACCTGGCCTTTTATTAGCAACTGAAGACAATCATCATTAGTCCTGACAACATTTAGGTAACATGCATTCCCAATACCCAAGTCTGTGTCTTCTGTTTATCAATATCACACTGGCTAAATTGTGAAATTTTATTTTCTAGTTCCAGCATGCACTGTAAGCTGGGTTTTATAAATACAAAATTTGCACTCTACTACTTCTTACCAATGATATAAACGAATATAAATAGAAGGGGCATTTTGGTCTCTCGGTGAATAAAAGTGCACTCCCGACTGCTACTTCCCCAATTTTGTTGAAGTGGAACGGGGGGGGCGATGATCGGACGTTAAGCTGGGTTAATCGGCGCGCTCATGTCTAGCTACGCGATGACGTTGTCGAAAGAAGTGATCGTCTACTATAGAAGGTTCCCCCAGATCAGATATCAGGTAAGACCAACCAGATTGAACAGTTTACTGTAAAAGGGAGCTAACAAAGGGCTCAGCAGAAATAAACTGCTCACGGTAAACAGGCCAGTTGATGGGTGTGTGCTCTGTGCCTGTGCGCGCGGCTTACAGGATCCAGGACATGTCCTGCAGCCAATCAGGAACTGGCGCTCACCGATTCGATGAAACTCGCGAGAATCTAATGCCATGACGCGTAGTAGGGGGCCTGACCATGAGAGGCGACAGTGTGTGCGCAAGGTTTCACAGGCGAAGGTAGGATGAGTCATGTGCATCCTGAAACTAGTCGGCCAACAACGCGTCACGGGCAGGAGTTCACATAGGAGACGATTGTTACGTGCGACTAAGCAAAGGCGACAAAGCAAAGCAAAGAAAAGGTGAGTCAGTCGTATTGGCGTTGATCTCAGGACCGCCACAGCGTAAGTAAAACCCGCACAAATACTCAATGGTTTCTCGATGGAAGGGATACCGTTCAGAGGCGATTTTATAAA